GAGCGAGTGCTCGAGAGAATGCTCGTGTGTGTGTGTGTGTGTGTTGTGTGTTGTGTATGACTCCCGGTTAGCGTTAACCGGTTAGGCGAAGCGGCTTGCACATGCCCGCGTTCGGATTTAACGTAGTTAAAATTATCGCCGATCGCATCACCGTCGGGTCGCATCAAGTTCGCACGGTGGATGCAGCTCTCTCGCGCGCCGCTGCTTCCTCAGACTTCGCCTGATCCCCGATAGAACTACCTTAACGAATAACGTCATACGCGCCATGAGCGCACTTGCGGGCCAAGTTATCGCGATCGCGGCTATTACACGGCCCCCGGGATTTATGGTGATTAAGTGCATATCGTACGACGGCGAATAAGTTTAAACATCTCCGGAAGTGTAATAGCTCGCTCGTACGATACGCTTCCGATGGTGTTTGAACATTCAAGTTCGCGCTGGTACCAACGTCTATCCTTCGAACGTTGTAATATCCGAAAGGATGCTTCTTCGACTGCTCGCTCTTTCTCCGTCTCGCCGAGATCCTGCTCGCCCGTTCGCTTCTCAATATTGTCTCACACTGCTGGACCGGTGCTCGAACGATCACTTATCTCTGCCAATTTGGTTGCTACTTAATTAACGCTTCTTAATGGATACGTAATTAGACGTACCACGTGGCGTATCCGAAGAGGCATCTACGTATAGATTCCCGGGCGATCTGATGAAACTTTATCAGATCGTCTTAATACGGCCTTATCAAATTACATTCTCACAATAATGCGAATGAAGTTCTATTACGTGGCGTCGCTCTATAAAGCTACCAAGGCCTGAGATTCCAGCCTAATTAAACACTGCGGACTGCCTCTCGCCACCTTTTAGTACATATATATATATATAAGAGAGAGAGAGAGAGAGAGAGAGAGAGAGAGAGAGAGAGAGAGACCGCCGCCGCTCTATCGATGGGTGCGCGCACTTAAACTTAGGTGCTAATTACCACAACGGGTGCTCACAGTGTCTCCATTTCGGAGCATATTCGTCCTTCTAACGCAGCTGATACGTGGCAGACTGTGACGGATGAAAATGTCACAACGTGAAACGTATGTACACGCAGCAGAGACGAAGGCGCATTCGCGATTTCTAGCGAGTAAACGGCCAGGAGGCACCGATGGCGCAGAGATTGGCTTCGTTTTCATTTAACTTTCTCTCTCTCTCTCTCTCTCTCTCTCTCTCTCTCTCTGCACAGACACGCTCGTGCCGCGCACGATGTATATCTGTAATTGTCCGCTTTAGAAACTTTAGCCGTTATTTCGCTAGATATGGGAATTATGTGGCATTGAGAAGAGAAGGAGCGACGCGCAAACGAATATGTATATATATATATATATATTCGTTTGCGTTTATATAACGAATATATATATATATATTATATATGTACGTATATATGTGCGTATATGTACACGTGTACAAGTACACGCGACGGCCCGGCCGTCGGCGAATTACGGAGAATGTGCTTTACGGGGCAGCGGAATTTCAGACAATGCTGGGAAGCGCTCCAGCCGGAGGGAGAAGACAGTGTTAATTAAAAGCGTTATTAAAGTTGCTGAAGAATCAATTGCGCGAAAGGAGAAACAAATTAACTCCCCGCGGAGAGAGATTGCTGCCGGTTCGGATAACGAACTGCTCCGATGTATCGGTCGCGCGCGAGCGCAGCTACGGCGAGAGAATTTCAGCGTTTACTACTTAATAGAGTTCTTTCTCCTTCGAGCCGCCAGTTTACGGCGCGGATTACGGCGCGATTAAGCAACGGCTGTAGAGTTTCCCGCTCGCAGTCGCCCCCGCGGGACGGGACGAGCAACGATAAAGGGAGAGAGAGCGAGAGAGAGAGAGAGAGAGAGAGAGAGAGAGAGAGAGAGAGAGAGAGAGAAAAGGAGAGAAATCGATCGATCGAACGGGCGACGGTCTTTCGCAAAACTGTGTTCTTCGGCCTGCTCGCGTTGCCACCGGCAGAAAAGCGACGTTCACCGCGCTAATCATGGCGCGATAACAGTAACAGTAACAATACGTCGGCCGTGATAACCGCGTAACGATAACGACTCTCGCCATCGGCGTAACCGCGTGACGTACCGTGGGCTTTTCAAAAACGCCGTTCGCCCGCGGCCGATTTTGTGCCGAACGATTTTGCGCGGAGGGAAATGCACGTCGATTCAGCGACGTCTTATCAGTAACAATTTCGCGCGCGTGACTCTGCGAGATTTTTAACTTGAGAAATTATTTACGCGCATCTCAAGAGAATCGATCACATTTCACGCGCGTTACGGCACCCCTTCGGGGTAACCTAAGACTGAAACAACGGTCTCCGTCCACCGTAATGTAACTGTATAATTGTACCGATATTGCGACGGCGGCTTACCTCGCAAAAACGGAATATTCAAAGACGGGATATTCGAAGACAGGGAAAGAATGGCGAAAGAAACCACCGAGATTACGCGTAATATTTACGATACGAAGTTCCGTTTTCGTACTGATCTCGCGCTGATCTCCTCCGTTCTCTTCTTAACGGTGTATCCTTTTTAACGAGAGCGAATTCCGAGAACTCATTTTCATAAGAAATGCAGATGCAAGTGAATGTTACGCTGGAGGAGGGAGAATCTCCCATCTTCTCTCTCTTCCTCGGTATCCTCGCGGCAACAGAGAGACATCGAACATTCTCACCGGCGGAAACGTTAAAATGACGAACATCGCCGACTACATTCCCGCTATATTCCCCTCGTTCCGTGCTTCGTACAAGATCGCGGTAAGATAACAAGGCGGATGAAGCAGCGCGTGCCGCAATCATTCGGCGCGACGGGGTCGACGAGGCGCGCGGATAATTTTACGCGCGGTTCACATGGGTTCGCCGATCGACGACGACAGTTTGCGAAACCGTATCGAAACCGGCGAGCGCGCGGTCGGATGAACGCGGAGGTTCGGACGGAAAAGTAATTTCCCTTGGAAATACCCCGGGGATGAGACGCCTCGTCCTTCTCTCCTCTCCTCCGCTCACCGGAGCGATTATCGAGATTCTCGCCGCTTCTTTCTCGCCTCTTTTTTTTTTGCCTACCGCAAAATGTCGGCTGTTCGGCTCTTTTTACAACCGCGATTTTCGTACAACCCCCGGAGTATTATTTCTCTTCCGTGTCGGAGCGTTAAATCCCCTTTTTCTTGTGGCCCCAAGCAGCCGCCGCCGCCGTCGTCGTCGACGCCACCGCTCTGTCCTCGCTCGCGGACATTACCGAAGTCGGTTAAGGGTTAAAGTTGGGAAGCTCTTTCTGCATTGGTTTAATCCGGGCTCGGGATTATTATCACTTTCAGCGATCCTCGCTAAAAGGCGCGACGGCCTCCCGTGCCGCTGGATTCCGTAGCTGGCGAATAATGCGAGCACCCTCTGCTCCGCGAGTCGATTTACCGTCGCTACGTAATTATTCGCCCGTTGGACTGTGCACCGCTTGATTTAACGCGAGCGCGCGCGAGATGTCCACATCGCCGCGAATTTTAATATTCCCTCCGCATTCCTGCCTCTGTCGCCGAACGTTCCGAGAGTGCCTGGTTTTTTTTTTTCCAAAAAACTCGTCCCCGTCCGACCGTTTCGAAAGAGCGGCGTGCGATCGCGTTCCGCCGCGGAATGTCACTTGCTGACGTTCTCGGCTCGGAGTATATTGCGACTGGCATACGAAATGACTGGTAATAACCAGCAGTCGTAGGGAGAGAGAAGAGAGAAAGGGAGGGAGGGAGAGAGAGAGAGAGAGAGTGGACTAGCAACAGGTACAAGGACTTGTGCCATTGCGGCGTCAATGCGCCGACCCGCTTCCGCGGAACCATCAATAGGATGTACTCCATAATGAAAAGTAATTAACGGGCTAATTTCGATCGGGTAAAAGGCAGTCGGCGTGTCATTACACGCAGCGACATAATAATTGCTTCTAATAACGATATGCATATTAATTACGACTTAATTACTCGGCGCGTTGCAGGCTCTACGAGTAAATTGTATCCTTCGCGCGCATTTATTTAAGAATCGCCGCCGTTCGTAACTGGCGGAGGATAAGATCGTCGTCGACGGCACTCGGAGGGGGAATAAATCCCATCGAGCTCGCGTTTTGCGGATGAGCGAAAAATTGCGCCGCGTCCCGGCGAAATCGCGCTCGAGGCGGCGAGCGGACGACGACTGAACCGAAAACTAACTAATCAAACTGACGAATTACCAGATCGAAAGTTCTAGAAATCGCGACTCGCGGCGCGTATATGTGGCGCGGTCTGCGGTATTCCCAGCGTGGGGTCGCTCGCACGAGGAAAGGTATTGATACAGGTTTCAGGACCGCGCGCGCGAGCTATCCCGCCAAACAATGAAACATCATCGCCGCGTGCAAACACGGCTCTCCGGATGCTCTCGTCTCACTTTACGGCGAGCCTGAGAGCACATCGAGACGCGCTGGACGCAACGAACGATACGGAATCGGATACAACAGCGTAAAGAGATGGGGGGGGGGGCTGGGCTGGGGAAGAGGCGGGTGGAAAGGAGAATTCTGGAAACCGGATTGGAGGAAGAGAAAAGGATATTGGGTCGCTTGCCGACCAAAGGATCTATGTATAATACAATAAGGGGGTGCGGGCGGCAGAGAGGCGAGAGCTGTGTGCGGTTTCCTTCGGAGAAGGAAATTCGGCCATTGTCGGAACACTCTGTGAAAATTAGCCGCAATTAAGGCGATGCCGCTGGGCGAAAGGTTGCAAGTGCGGAGCTCCGTGGATGAGAACGGTGAAGTTTTCGCGATGCTGAGAGCGGAAATGCCGCTTTGCCGGGCCGCTTCGCTGCGCGGTCTTTGGCACGCGGGGTAGCGGAAACGGGGACGCGCGATTCGCCGTTATTGCAGAGTCCGTTCAATTTCTTTAAAGCCGCCGCCGCCGCCTCGTCCCGGCCGAACATTTGCGAACGAGGCGACGATATCGCGGCGTTTAAGATTGATATACAGAGGTTCGGTACTCACCGTCGATGTCAATCTCCTGCAGCATTGTCCTCAGCTCCTCCGCCCTCGCAAATTGTCCCAAGGAACGCATCACCCTGCCGAGTTCTTCCTTCGTGATAGTCCCGTCGCCGTCCTTGTCAAACAGCCTGAAGGCCTCTCGGAATTCTGCGGAGAAGGGATACCGTGGGAGTCACAGTACGACGTGCCGCTTTTGCTTTCTTTTCTTTTCTTTTTTTCTTGCGGGAATAACTATCCCGAATTCCCCGGGAAAATCGTTCGCCGGGGAAACACGGCGTGTCGTCGTCGTCGTCGTCGCCGTCGCTCTCATTTATCGGACATTATTTTTGCCGGTGTTTCCCGGCGAAATTTTTCAGGATTCTTCGAGTTAATTATTAACGGTAACCGTCGGCATGCATCGGGCTGGCCACTCGCGTCGATTAACCGACTGAAGGCGATCGTTATCTCCGAAGCGGACTTGACGAGCGACGAGTACAAGCCGTAACGTTCGGCTCGACGGTACTTGACTCGATCGTTTAATAGCCTCGTTTCCCGCGCCGTTGAATCCCGACGTTCCGGCAGTGCATTGTACGCGTGCGTATCCGCGCACGATTACTCGTCCACGGACAGAAGCTACGAGCAGAGACGAGCTCTCGACGAGATCGGCGATTATCGCGTCTTAAAGCCGTATTACCGCCACGCCCGACTTCGTCGGGATAAACTGGATCAGGGTTCACCATCGTTACCCCGAGACCGGGTTGCATCGCGATTTAACAATTACGGAGCAATCTTCTGAGACGCTTGAGCAAGTTTCAGCCAGGACATCGCGATACGCGCGAAACAGACATAAGAGAATTTTATCGAGAATTTTTACTCCGCTTTGGAGAAGCCTGAAAGTTTTGAAGCGCGAAGCGGAAGGGAAAGGCTCGTATCAAATTTCTTTTCTTTTTTTCTTTATTATATTCGTAGTAACTCGTAAAACGAGTTTTACGATAGGAATTAGCGGCGATGTGTGCGCCCACGTGCACGTCTCAGCTTTATGGTTCCATCAAGCGCGTCAATCGCTGAAGTCGACAACGATGGAGACAACAGCTTTACACGTAACTGCTCCAAGCGGGACGGTTCTTTTACGAAGACGATAAAGACGTAACAACCTGCCGGAAGAAATTACGTTTGTCGAAGTAGTATCGTATGTGTCGCTCATTGCAAGGAGACGCGTGACTCTTTTCTGGATGCCTCTCTGTGTCGCGCAGAAGCCTAAGAGGGCAGCGGATGAAAAGGCGGTTCCTCTCGTAAAGCGTCGGAGGAGAGAGAGAGAGAGAGAGAGAGATTTAGCCTGTGTGAATTCCGCCGCCGTACGAATCGTCGGATCGTGCCCTCGCGAGAAGAAACCTCGCGGAATGTGTCGGACGTGATTGAAGACGCGGATGTATCGATCGCGCGGACAAAGTCGCGCATTTCGAGAGAAGTTTGATAATTTATTTGTAATTACAGCGAGTTCGGCGAGGACTAAAATACACTTAAGGCGTAATTAATAAACGTCCATTTACCATAACCCTGTATTAAAGATATCGACAAGCTCTTTCGTTCGCAGCGCGTTGCAGTGCGCGCTCGAGAGAAACTTGATCGGGAATTTATAACCGCAACTACCGTCAGGCTGAAAATCATTCCCGGGACAGTTGGTTCAAGTTGTCGGCTTATTGGCGAGTCACCTTCGAATTTGTCATTTGTAGAGGATTCCGGGAACCCGAAGCGGGTTCTTTCTGAAATTAATGTGGAAGATCCGCCGTGAAGGAAAAGCACCGATCGGCTGACGCGATGAAACGCGTATAAAGAAAGTACCACGAAATGTCAACGATTCGCTGTTTGACGTCGATTGGAAATCACCATTCGTCCACGCTGATGTGAGTGGAATAATATCCGATAGCGGGGAAATCACAAAAGCAAAAAGAAAACAAATTGTACACGCGACGGCCAACGCCGCGACGGTCGAACGTTGCACGTGTCCGCTGACACGATGTGTACGCAACGGATAATAATTTATCTCGACGTGCAAATCTTTCTCTCTTTTCCTCTCTCTCTCTCTCTCTCTCTCTCTCTCTGACCGATCGGTCGGGCCGATTCTAGATCCTCGAATGCGTATAGCCCGCTTAAAAAAGTAATAACGACGGAGGGAAGGAAAAAGAAGAAAATAATGGCTTATAAATTGAGTGAAATCGCAACGCTGGGCCGTGTCCGACGCGGCGCGAGCGCAGTTTTATCGAGATTAACGAAGTGATGACATGAAACAGGCGAGATATTGTTTTCCCGGCTTGGCAAATTCGATTCACCGCTGTATTTCCATCATTCGGCGTATTCTCGGTGCCGCGAGCCAAAAGTGTACAAATTTAGATCGCGAAAGATTAATCTCTTGCGGTAACACTAAACACGAAGACCGCCTGTGCTTTTGCCAACGCGCTTCAGCCAACGCGCTTTGCTATTTACTCAACATTTGTATTCTTGGTGTATCTAGCGTGTTTAATGTTTCTTCCCGAGCAATTTGCAGAGAAGAGAGAGAGAGAGAGAGAGAGAGAGAGAGAAGGAAAGGAAAGACAAAGGGCGCAGATGGCCAAATTTCTAAATGAACCCATTACAAGGACGCTATCGAAAGCTTCGCTTGTGACATCTGACGATCGGCGTTCGTTAACGCGCGGCCTTTAATTAACTCCGCATTTCCGATCGACTCGTACTTTCGCGCGGCAGCATTGAGCGTCTGGTTACAGTGACAATTAGGAGCCGACTCTCCAGAACGGATTACAGCATTCAAGACGTGTAACGGTGGTTGCTAGCCACGGGACTTGCAACGCAGCTTGTGCAAGAGAAGCGCGAGGAGTAACGAGTAAAGGGATTATTTTAATCCTCGACTCACCCTTCATCTGCGACTTTGATATAGCGGGCGCCTTGCTGGACGAGAAGTGGCTTGCCGACGAGCGCTTGGGCGAGGTCGGCAGGGAGAAGAGTACATTCGCGGAGAGCCTGCTGGAATCGTCGCAGGTGGACGACGAGGAAGCGACGGTCGAGTCCGTCGACTGCATCAAGGACAATTGCTGCTGCTGCTGCTGCTGCTGCTGCTGCTGCTGCTGTTGCCGTCGTCGTCGGTATTGCAGGTCCGTCAACCCTGTAGAAACGGTCGGCGTCGGCGATGCCGCCGTCGAGGTCATCGGCGTCGTCGTGCTCACCGTCATCGACGTCGGCGTAGGCGCCCGCGGGGAACAATCGTCGGCATCTTTCCTCTCGCCGTTTCCCACCGCGCCGCTGCTCTGTCTCGTCTGCAATTAATCACACCGAAATGCTCTCCTTCTTTCTCTCTCTCTCTCTCTCTCTCTCTCTCTCTCTCTTTCTCCCCGCCGCGCGGAAAAGTTCGAGCGACGTATTAATGGTATTAAATTTCACACGTGTTTGCTCGGTTTACTCGGGAGAATACACGGTACTTTCTCATTCTGCTTGTCGCGGTTTTGTGCGGTGGCCACAGGTGAGAAGTGCGAATATTTATCAATAATATACGTTTTGCGAAAATGCGTTCTTATTTCGTCCAGGACAGACAGACGGAAGAGTCGTATCGAAATCATTCTGTCTCTTCCGCGTCGGCTGCTGTTAACCGATGAACAGGACGTTAACCGGCAAGTGAGTCATTCTCAAAGTGCAGCCATGTTAATATTTAATCTCGCGCTATTACGCTATTACGCACGGCATGTGAACTTCCAAGCTGGAGTATCCCGACATTCTAATGACAGGGCAGAGGTCCGACGCGGTTCAACGCGCATCCGGATCTGTAAGCCCGGTTTACAGATTTACGCACGAACATTAGTGTGCGAAAGGGAATCTCGCACGGGCATGTGTTTGATTCGCGAAACGCTAAGCTAACACTTAGGTAAATTTTCCGAGCCGATAGAACGAGCGAACGGGTAAAGAAGTGGCGCGTACTCCTAAAGACGAGGAGAGAGGTCGGCGGTGTTAGCGGCGCGCTCATCGGGAACGCGCGCTCTGTTATACTCAAACTTTATCACCCAACTAAATCTACTCTGTGATAACACGATGGGCGAAGTTCATTACATGTGTGCGGAGAGGCGTATCTCATTATCGCGGAACTTGGCGCGACGTTGACGAGTGATCAATCGCTTTCCTCTCCAAGCTGTAAGACGAGTGAGAAGAAAAAGGAAGAAAGAAAAAGGATGTAATAATGCTGACTCATCCAACATTTCAACCAGAGAGAAAGAAGGGGGGAGAGAGAGAGGGGGAGAGAGAGAGAGAGAGAGAGAGAGAAAACTTGCGTTTTTTGGCGGGGAGGTTGGCGGTTGAAAAAAAATGCGCAGGCATCACTTTCCGCATTTTAGCCGCGCGTCGAGAGCGGGAATTTTGGCAATAATCATTCCGTTGGTGACCCTGCGGCAGGTCGAATGGCTGTCTGGGATGCGATTCCGAAGAAGTGTAAGAAACGCTTTAATTACACGTGAGGAAATAACGCGCGTTGCTACCGAGAGCTCTTTTGCCGTAAGTTAGTCGACGGTGCTCATTGTGACCGTCCGAGTGTTGAAACGGACGATAAAGTTCGCACAAGATGCGAGCGAGCATAAATTCCGCGTTCCGGGGGAAGACGGGTCGACATCTGCAGCTACGAAGAGACTTGGAGATCTTTGCACGTGCAAAAAGATCTACAGGTCTCTTAATTATCAGAGGTATCAATTGGAGGATGCGGCAGTGGACGTAGCGCGCGTCTATGTCCTGAAGAACATTGTTAAGAACTTACCGGATCTTAAGAAATGTAAACTTTCTTCAGAAGTGTAAAAGCTCAGTGTTTTCCTCCCGAAGTGTATAATTATACGATTCGAGCTCACGACGCGATTTTTACGGCGGAAGAGAAAGAAAGGAGGGAGATACATAGAGAGCGCGTCTCTCAAAAGTGTTGTTGTTTCTATGCGCGCGCGCGCCTCTTTACGCAGCTAAAACCTGTAATAAGAGACGCGACGTGAGAAGGAAAACTGAAGCAACTTCTGCACCGGAGCTTATAACTGAAGGTAAACGCCTGCGAGACAAGCCGGAGGGCAAACAGCGCCCGTTCGAAGCGCCGTTCTCAGACGCTCGGTTATCTTCTCTCTCGCCTCTCGACGATCCCGCAGAACTTTGAAAAAGTTGTCACCAAGCAAGCGCGACAAACTCGCATTCACGCGCGATACGGATCGCCAGAAAAGGAATTTGCATTTTGCCCCCGCCCCCCCCCGCCCCCCCCCTCGGGGCGAGGGAGAACAGGGAGAATGTTCGCGTGTCAAAGTCGGAGGAATCGCGTTTCCCTACTTATGAAAATAGCAAGAGACAGACACTAGTCTCTTAACCGAGAATCGCGTGACGAACTTTAGCGGCAAAGTTCGACGGAGCGAGTGAAATTCGAGTGCCAGGCGCTAGGCGCTTTGCGATATTCGCGACTGATCAAATTCCGCGCAGGTTCCGCGACAGAGGACATCGTCGACTGAAGGGAGAATTACGGCTGTTATGCGCTCGCGAACGGAAGTTTCGAAACCGCGCGCGTGTGCATACGAGAGAGAGAGAGAGAGAGAGAGAGAGAGAGAGAGAGAAAGAAAGAGAGAGAGAGAGACAGAGAGAAAGTTTCCCTGTGGACGAGGTAATAAAAGCCGAAAGTCCAAAGGAGAACTTCCGAAAAGTTTCCGCGATTCTCCTTCTCCGCATCGCCCGTTGGCCGACACTGACAAAATTGAATCCTCGTTAGAGCGTCGTCACGTTTCGCCGATCGACATCGACACTTTCTTCGCCAGAGAGGGAACACGAGATTCCTTCCTTTCTTCTCTCTCTCTCTCTCTCTCTCTCTCTCTTCCTCTTTCCTTCCCTACCGCCAATTTAAATTACATTTCATTATGAGCCTTTTCTAATTGCGACAGCAGCACACCAGGCAATCGTTTGTTCGGTGAAGAATCGGAGACCACTTGTGCTATTATGTCGTTATGACGTTTGCGACTGCTCGAGTTTTGAAAGGACGAGAGTTTAATGAAATAACACTCTGGCGAAATAAACGTCGTTAGTCTCGTGTTTGCAAATCCTGAGCTCGCGATGAATCCTCGTAATGTTCTCGCAATTAAACACGCATTTGCGCTTCGTTAAATTATTTACAGCGGGAACAAAGCTAATACACCTTTCGCCCTGACGTCAATTCACCACGATAATGTTATTCATTTTCTGTCGCTTGTATGCAAGAAACTGTAATTCATATTTTTAATAGCTGTTTTAATGGCTTCGCCGTATTGGCACTTAGCCAAGATTATGCGGCCGCTGGCCCGCGTCAATAATGTACAATAATGCACGCTTTTATGACGGCATTTGCGCGACGCAGAACGGTTTTACAGAACGGGCGTGTCAAGAACTATATTATACATTCATTCGATTATGGCTGTTCCGAAAAGGAGATTAATTCATTCAAGAAGTCCGCCGGGCTTTCCGGCGGAAGGATGCTTCGTCGTGTGCGTTTGTTACGGCTCGCAAATTTTACGACATCTGTTTTAATAGCGCAGACGGACATTCAGTTCAACGGCATTTCAAATTGCGATTAGCAAATAGTCGCGATAATAATGTATATCATAATCAAAATATATTCGTAAGATAAACGTACGCATATTTATGCCGAAATATTCGTATGCTTGCGGAAAACCGCCGATGGCACGGCGAAAACGAATTTCCAGCAGGTTGTGAGAAGAATCGCGAGTTTTCGATCGGCTTTGACTTTAATTTCAACATTCTTGCTTTTCGCGAAGATATCGCGAACCTGCAAGCGATATATGCCCAGTCGGGTACGACGATATGTCACTGCGCGAAACGCGGCGCAGTTATCGACGGACAAATGTATCACAGTCGATCGCACACACTTCGCGCTTCTTCCTGCGAAATAATGATTTTCGCTTCATCACCGATCGTAATCCTCGCCGACAGCCGGAGTCGGTTACCTTAATGAAAGTAATTACGAAGAAGAATAGCTCGGCGATGGCCGCGAATTTCTAGCACTTTTAATTGACAGCTTAAACGGGATATGGAATTTACATTCATCTTCGCGCCGTGGGCGCGTTGAGAGTCTCCTCGCATAACTCTATCGTAAAATTCCGCATTTCGCGCGCACGCGCGCGTTGCTTTCCGAAAGTGCTCTAATAAATCACCGTGGTCTTCGCAATTACGTGTTTGATAAGTTTACGAGAACTTATGCGTGCGATAAAAAATAAGAAAGAAAGGAGATCGCGGTAGCGATCAAACGTTGACGATACCACGCGAGTGCCACGTCGATTCGTCGTCGATTCGCGAAACGGACTCTCTCGACGTCATATCCTTGAAAAACCAACGCGTTTAATTCCCGCCGTTAAATATATATCTTTGCTTTGAAAAAAATGTCATGGATGTCCGAATACGAGAGCTCGCCCAAGCAACGGTAGATAAATGACACCTACGTATTTTCAGCGAGGGAAAACCGGAAGAATAATCTACTCGCATTTTTCTGATTTCGCGAATATATTCGTTCGTCGCCGACGACGACAAGGGAGAAGTTGGCGTGACGTTCCACACGACGCGCATTTTTGTTCCGTGACTTCTCGAGTATTTTCGGGGAATTCTTCAAGTGCCGAAAGGATAGTGGATGCTCGGGGACGTCTCTCTTATTAGATTATTTCTATCTCTATAAGGTGCGACACTTTCCTTTCTAATATATCGAATTTGTGAGATTTCGTTCAAAAAAGTCGCTTCGCGATGCGGCTGCAGGCGATATGAACCATTCTCCGTTTCACAAAACATGCCGCATGCGTGTTCAGGCACGTACATATCGCAAGTATTGCAACTCGATAAACAACCGTGTGATCGCGTTTATACAATTCAACAGATATCGGTTACATAAATCGGTTACATAAATATATATATATATATTGTTAGCGAATTCGCATCCACTTCTCGTGGGATATAACAACATATCGGAGTCTGTGCAAGCACACGTAATGCGGTCGCATTATCGCCAAGCTGAAAGCGATTGTTTTGCATTTATTACAATAATGATACACGCGCCCGCGTCGCGCGGCTGTTTCATCTTGTTTCGTCGATTATTGCGACAGAGAGATGTGGGAATCATTGTAACATTGTGTGTCCTGACATTCTGAGGTTATTTAGACTTTGTATATCACTCAGGCAATTTCGTTTATTTAATATAATTCATATTGAGAGAGTATCATCGCGCATTATATAGCAAATTTAATGGTACAAATAAATACATACTTGTAAACAATTCGCTTTC